TCCCGTGTGGCCCAGAGGGGCCTAGGGCCCTGGGCCCCAGTCTGTGTCAGAACTCCCCCCAGGACAAGGACCCAGAGCGGCCTCCCTCCACTCGCCCCCTCCCTCCTCTCTCTCTCTCTCCCCCCCTCCCCAGTTCCCCGCCCCCAGGCTCCTCTAGCCCAGCCACCAGCTGAGCACCCTAGCAGGCAGGACTGCAGACCCAGCCCCTGAGACAGCTTCCCACATGGCCTCACTCCTGCCTGGCTTCGATACGATGCAGTTCTGGATACATTCTCATTTGAATAAAAAGGCTTCTGCTGCCAAAAGATAAACTTTCCAAAACTGGAAACATAGACCTATAAAGTTCAAACTGTATAATAATAAAAGAATTATCTGGTCCCAAATGTCAATCATGCCAAAGTCCAGAGACCCTGATATGAAGCATCCAGAATAGTGGCTGGAACATGGTAAGAAAATGGCACTTGAATGTGGTTTCCTTCTCCTTGCCTTCACCACTCCTGGACAAATAGATCGAGGTTTTTCCATTCATACCTTAACAGTGTGTCACAAAATGTGGTTTTGTTACTGTCTCCCGTTTCTTTTTTTAACCTTTTTCTTTTTTTTAAGATTTTTATTTATTTGGGGCATCTGGGCGGCTCAGTCGGTTAAGCGTCTGCCTTTGGCTCAGGTCATGATCCCAGGGTTCTGGGATCGAGCCCCACATCGGGCTCCTTGCTTAGCAGGGAGCCTGCTTCTCCCCTGCCTGCCGCTCCCCCTGCTTGTGTTCCTGCTCTCTGTCTCTCTGTCTCTGTCTCTCTCTCGCTCTCTCTATGTCAAATAAATAAAAGATTTTTATTTATTTGACAGGGAGCACAAATGGGGAGAAGGAGGCAGAGGAAGAGGGAGAAGCAGGTTTCCCGCTGAGTAGGGAGCCTGATGCGGGGCTCGAACCCAGGTCCCCGGGATCATGACCTGAGCCGAAGGCAGACGCTTAACGACTGAGCCACCCAGGTGCCCTCTCTCTCTCTCTTTTTTTTTTTTAAGACTAATTTATTTATTTTAGAGAGAGAGCATGAGTGGGTGGGGGAGAGGGAGAGAGAATCTCAGCAGACAGCTCACTGAGCGCAGAACCTGACGCAGGGCCCCATCTCATGACCCTGAGATCACAACCTGAGCTGACACCAAGAGTGGGATGCTTAACTGATTGTGCCACCCAGGCGCCCCTAACCTTCTCTTTTAAGTAATCTCTACGCCCACCGTGGGGCTTGAACTCAATGACCCTGAGATCAAGAGTCGCCTGCTCTACGGACTGAGACAGCCAGGCGCCCCTCATTTTTCATTATGTAAAGTTTGTTATTTTATTGAGATAATTGTAGATTCACACGCATCCCTTTTGTTTTTTTAATCTCCGGCTCTTGGCACTGGGCCAGGTTTTCCAAGTTTGTTGAATCGGGAACAGTTTCTGGGCTGGATTTGCAATGAATTTTTCCCATGAAAACCACATTATAGTTGTGCTACCACTTGGTCGTACTCTGAGTCGATCACCTGGGTTGTAGAGACTTCCGTCTAAGCTGTAAACACCATGTGTGTCACTGCAAGCAGAATTCCTCCCAAGTTCTCAGGTGGAACCACTCATCTGTAGATTGTGTGTGGGATAACCTGGAAGTAACACCAGGCCTAGACAGGAAACAACTGATGGACGGAAGCAGCTCGTGGAACATGAGGACGTGGGTGGTGGTGAGGATGTGCGGTGTGGCACCCACTAAGAGGACAGGCGCTGTGGGGGGAAGGGATCAAGTACGGATAGCCTGGAGATGGTTTGTAACTGAAAGTTACGGCCTCGGGCGCCTGGGTGGCTCAGTTGGTTAAGCGACTGCCTTCAGCTCAGGTCATGATCCCAGGGTCCTGGGATCGAGTCCCACATCGGGCTCCCT